GTTATAAAAGAGCCTGGCCCCACCCTTTTGAATCCTTTTCATTAGATATTTCTAAGCATTGAAAAGATTCTCACCCACAAGCTCTCTACTCATCCATCATTCACTCAAAGGTAGAGCTCAATACATTTAGTTTGGTCTCTCACACAAGAGAAACTCCACTGCCTTGCCCTGCTTGCTTTTCTTCCCTAAAAAAAAAGTACATAACTATCCAGTCATGCAAACTATTCCACCATGTCTGTGTGATTGGAATGAAATCATAGCCCTGTAACCACACACAGAACTCTAGTTCTTTCAGCTTATTCTCCATGCTGTGTGCACTTGGCACTACAGGGAAGAAATGAGAGCAGAGGATGCAGGATCCCCTAGAGATGGAAAAGACCTTCCGTAACTATACATTCATTTGAGGCAGCTGGCCTTATGCCTCCTGTCATAGAAGGCAGTTCAGGAACATCTGTCACTATTCTGGTTGACCTGGCTTATTCAAATGGTTCAAATGGTGTGAGCATTGCCATTTTCAACCCCACTCCCAAGTTCTTCAGTTTAAAGCCTGCCTTGCTAAGTTAGCCAGCTTGCTGCAGATAACAGTTTATTACTTTGTTACATTGTTTCTATTTCATGTCTTCTTACACCTTGTTAAACAAAGCATGCAAGTGAATGCATAACTGCTCAAGCAAGTTGCAGAAACATCTGTTTTTACTAATCAGTTAGTTTTCCATGTGCATATTTTGCACAACATCTGTCCTTTTGTATGAAATACTTTGTGTAAATTTGCCTAAACTTTTGATTCTACTGACATGGTAACCACTGCAAAAGAGTAACTCTATGGATAAGCATTTTAAAGATGCTTCACATTTTACTTCCACAGGATAATCAGTTATTATAGTCAAACATTTTTGTATGCTAAAAACATTTTTTTTTTCAGCAATCTCATTTTTCCACCTTTTTTTCTTATGCATGTTTTATGGATATGTAAATGATACTAATTAATGTATGATTCACTTTTTACAAAGAAGACTTCCATGGTTACTCCTTGATTTATTTATTTATATTTACATTTAATGCATCATTTACATTACATTTCTTTTTACAAAAGAACTGTAATAGGTTTAGTTACTCATTTTAAGTGAATAACTTGGAAAGAGTTGATAGGTGACATAAATTTTCAGGAATTGTGAACAAGTGAAATTTTCTACATTTTTTCCCTGATGTAGTTTTTAATCCATATTAAAGCACTGACAATATGTTTATAGACACAGCCAATCAATAGTTGATCTAAGACATTGAATAGCTGTGACAGTAAAGACTAGAACTAGGAACAGACTGATATCTGAATCATGCAATGTATTTTTAGATAAGCAGCTAAGTTTAGATTTATTTTCATCTTATTACTCTGAAAAAAAGAATCTCTAGTGACAAGGTACTGTAATTCACCAAGCTGGTCAACGACATTTTCCTCTATACTGCATGGTTCAGTTGCAACCCTTCTCAAAAATGATAAAAACAAATCATCAATAGTTGTAAAATTTTCCAGCTCCATTTATGTTGTTATGTCAGGTCTGGTGATCTTGCTGTTAGCTCATTACACTTCAGAAAGCACACAGGAAGCAGAAGTCAGTCCTTATGAATAAGTGCACTCAAAAGAATTATGAGCAAAGAACCTGAGATAACTGATTTTTTTTGTTTGTTTGTTTGTTGTGTTTTTTTTTTTTTTTTTTTTTTTTTTTACCAATGAGTAGCAGTCATCACAGCACAAGTTTCTATTATTAATACAATGACAATAAGAAGGGCTTACAAACAAAAATCCTTAATGTAACAGATGACCTAATAACACAAATGAAGTGCTTTATTCAAATTAAAGCTCTCAGTCATCACAAGGGCTGAGAACAGAGCAAAAAAAACCTTGAAAGTCTCTGAATTTTATTTAAATCTTTAACTTCACTCTACATTGCAAACCAAGTGTGCACATGTGCAAAATGGAAATTAGTTGCCAAAAGTGGAAAAAAGAACAAGCAACATCTCAGAACAAGCTAGACATTGAAACTTGACTAGTGCAGGAAAAAAAAAAAAAAAAAAAAAAAAAAAGAACCTTCTGATGTATGGGGCAGCATTCAGAAGGTAAATGCAATTTTGAGATTTCTATTTTTTTCCCCTAACATGATGGATGTTTTCATTGATCAACATTATGTATAACAATTCTGAACAGTAGACTGTTTTAGAATGATTAGGAAAGGCAAGGGTAAAGATACTGTCTAGAGAGCATTTCTGAATATTTTCTTCATATCAAATCAATGTAAGAGTTTCAGAGGCCAGAAGCAAGGTGTGTTTTTAGACATACATTGTACTTCAGCCATAAGTAATCAGAGTTCAGAAGGGAAGAACACAATATTCAAAGTCTTGCGGGCGATCTCTGCACTGATATTTGACTGATATTCAGGAAAAACCATATATCCAAGTAATTTAAAACATAATTCTTCTGCCTGAATCCACGCACCTGAAACTTAGGTGCACAGTTTTTAACAGGCCTCAGTCTCTTTCACTGTCAAGTGAGAAAAATAAGCTCAAGTAAGGAGTCTTTTCACTCTTATAATCTTCAGATTAATTATCCTCTGTGGACTTTTATTTCATGCAATTGGTCATAAAGACTGTAAAAAAAAAATGTAAAAAAAATGTCTAAAATTTAACCATCTTAAAAGATGGTTAAATCTACTTGAAATGCATTCACCCGCAAAAGATTTTGGAAAAAATTAGAGCACTACATAAATTGGAATTTGTTTTTTGTGGAAGAGTAAAACAGTCATATATATCCATCAACAACTAATAACCTCTGAAGATTTTGATTTTGTTGAAATATAACAGAGAATATTTTGCATGCAAAAAAAACAGAAATTTGCAGATGTCCCCTCCTTGTCTGTTATGTCCTTGCACAAAGGGCTTTTTGGGTTTCAGTCCTGCTCCTACAATCATTCAGCTACTGTCTTTGTTGCAATAGTTTCATAGAACCCTCTCTAGGCCCTCGAAAAAAAAAAATCTTACACATATTTGAAATCACAGAATCACCAAGGTTGGAAGAGACCTATAAGATCATCCAGTCCAACAATCCACCTGTCACCATTAGTTCTTTCTAAGCCATGTCCCTCAGCACAATGTCCAAACATTCCTTGAACACCTCCAGGGTCAGTGACTCCACCACCTCCCTGGGCAGCCTCCGCTGAAGCAGACTTCAGTGTCTAATTTCCTCAAGACACATGAATGCTCATGTACCTTCAGGTTTCCTAGATGGTTTTGATCATGATATCCTCCTAAAGTTCTTGATACATGATAGCACATATTTTGATTATCCAGAATGCTGTTTTTTTAGCTTTGGGATAAGCATAGCTTTTCTATATCTTCAATATTTCAGTAATTATTTTCAATAATCGTGTTCTCACATTGTTTTTTTTTTTT